TCCAAGCTGATGAAGAACAGTTGCGAGTTCAGTTAGATACAATTCAGTGTGAACTAAATGCTCCTACTCAGTTTAAGGTAAGACTAGAAGATTCTTGCTTTGTAGAAGACTATAATGCAAGAATCAGCTATCTCTGCATAAAAATGTCACATGGCCTTCAAAAAGAAAATTTTGTATATTTAATAAAAATAATTATTCCCTTTCATCAGAATTCCTAAGAAAGGCTCTCAAGAACAGACTTTTTAATCACATTGTTTCATTAATGTTTCCCTATACTAAAATATAGGAAAATTATACTAAGTATAATTTTTTTTTTCCCTCCCATTGATCATCGATTTGCTCAAGCAGGCCCAGTAACGTCTCCATTGGAGACTTTGTTGTTACTGTGTTTGGCATATCGAATACATCACGGGGAGCTTGCCAGGCCCTGCCGACTAAGTATAAATATACTAAGTATAATTAGTATATTTTATACTAAGGGAAAATTACTCATCCTGTTAAATGAAGATATTTCATTTTAGAAGTTATTATTAGCAGTTGTAATTTGACTCAAACTTATTTTTAGGGCCGACTAAATGAACTGATGTCCCAAATTAGGATGCAGAATCACTTTGGAGCAGTTAAATCCGAAGAAAAGTATTACATAGATTCCGATCTGTTAAGAGAAATTAAGCAGGTAAGTCTTTTTAAGAAGTTGATTTTCCAGTGGTGAATGCACCGCTTCACATTCATTTAGGATGGTTGTCCCACCCCAACCCCACCCAAAACAGAAAGAACAAGCTGTTGTGGATGGGAAGAATTTATTAGGTAGGGCTGGTAGGTAGCATGTGTTTGAGTGGGGGCCACAACTGGAGCCTGATTTCTTTGCAGTTGCTTGTTTCCCTGTGCAGATCTGCCTCTTGGCTCTCGAAGCCTCCCCCTCAACCCCCAGTGTATTGTAAAAGAATATGTCAGTGTTGCCATGTTGTTTGGGAGCAGCTCAGGGGTTCTCAGGGATCACTCGTAGCTCTGCGCTCTGGGATCTCTCCTGGTGGGGTCTGGGAACCATTTGTTGTGCTGGAGATTGAATCTGGTTTGGCCACGTGCAAGGCAAGTGCCTTACCTGCTGTACTGCTTCTCCTGCTTAGGCCTTGAGTAGTTCAAATCGTGATAAATCTTATCAGCAAATAACTTGCATGCCTTACTATGGATATTGCCATTGTACACAACTAAAAGCTAGTTTTGGTGTTTAGATTTTGGGGAAATATATGTAGTATTTAAATTTAATTGTAAATAATTTCAATAACATTCGATTTCAGCATATTAAAATGAATAATGGGAATAATAAAAGCAGTTTCTAAAATACTAAAATAAGAATTTTGTTTTGATAATAAATTTGGTTGATCCCGGTTCGATTCCTCTGCCCCTCCCTCTCGGAGAGCCCGGCAAGCTACCGAAAGTATCTCGCCCGCACGGCAAGACCTGGCAAGCTACCCGTGACGTATTCAATATGCCAAACACAGTAACAACAAAGTCTCACAGTGGAGACGTTACTGGGCCCCCTCGAGCATATCGATGAACAGCGGGAGGACAGTGCTAAATTGACAGTGCTGATAAATATGGCTCATCACCGTATATAATCCTGAGCAAGTTACTTAACCTGTGTCTATCTTCAGAGATAACAACATCCTAAAGGATCTCAAAAGGATTTAAAATAGTCCAAAAGATTAGAATGCATCTTAAGAGGGAGCCCCGTGTTTAATCCCTGGCACCACATGATCCATTCTCAGGCACTACTGGGAGCAGCCTCTAAGCACCCAGCATTCCCACCTCAGTAATAATAAGGTTAATTTTAAAGTTAGTTAATTTCCTACCCATGAACTTTTTTTTTCTTTTTGGGTCACACGCAGCGATGCTCAGGGGTTACTCTTGGCTCTGTACTCAGGAATTACTCCTGGCAGTGCTTGGGGGACCATATGGGATGCCAGGTATTGAACTCGGGTCGGCCGCGTGCAAGGCAAACGCCCCCCCTCCACTGTTTTATCGCCCCGGTTCCCCCCCCACACCATTAATTTCTTAAAGCTTCTTAAGACTAGGGTGGGACTAAAGAATATTAGCCACTATAATTAATGTGCTATACATTTTATATTTCAAAACTTAAAATATTAGTTTTAGAAAATCTTTAGAATAATTTGAGGGGCGGTGGGGCTTTTGGGGTCACACCAGTGATGCTCAGGGGTTACTCCTGGCTTTGCACTTAGGAATTACTCCTGGAGGTACTCAGAGGACCATATGGGATGCTGGGGACAAACCCAGGTCAGCCACGTGCAAGGCAAACTCCCTCCAACTGTACTATCACTCTGGCCCCCATAATGATTATTTTGCTAGTAATTAGTATTCCTTGGATTTCTTGCTGGGGACTGCCCTGCCCATCGGTGCCAGGGTTCCACACGTGCGTGGGCTCTGGTGTGCAGAGCATGTGCCCACCCTGGAGATTTCTCCAAGCCCGCATGCTTGTTTAACATCATGCTTTTCTAAAATAAGAGGTTGAGGGTACTGTTTGTCACATTCTTGATTTCATTTCATTGTATATATCGTACAAATCATTAATAAGAGGGAAAGATACAGTATGCTTTAGTATATATAAGCATTATATTCAGAGCAGCTGCCATGTGTTGTTGCTAGTACGGAAAAACAATTTCTCCTATAAAAGCTTGCTGTTTAATAGAACATAATTTTCTCTTGTTCTAGCATTTGAAACAACAACAGGAAGGCCTTAGCCACTTGATTAGCATCATAAAAGATGATTTGGAAGACATAAAGTTGGTTGAACATGGATTGAATGAGACTATCCACAGCAGAGGTGGTCTTTTTAGTTGACAGTCAACTGTCAAGGGTTAGTTTGTGAGATGGATCTTCATCAGGCCTTCTTGAAGAATGAAACTGAAGGTGAAGAATGAAACATGGAGGAGAAAGAAAAAATCCTCCTCGCTTGGTTTTTGGAATGTTACTGACTTCTTGTTCTTCAAATCTGAAATAATGTAAGTCACTTTGCAGCTCTTCAAAATATCTTTGAAAGATATCTGAAGTCCTTTTTTAAGGAGAAGTCCATAATTACCAAAAATCCGTACTATTGGCATATTACTGTTCATTTCCACACTAGCACTGTTAAAAGTAATCAGTGCTTATTTGAGCCTGTACTCTGTTTTCCACAGCAAGTATTTATGTCTGCTTTGCACATAACGAAATAAACTGTATGATTACTTGGCTATTAGAGAAATTTGTACTTCAAACTGTAAATGATAAATCAGTTTGTATTATTTGTGAATTACTTTGCAAGAGTAAAGAAAATCCAATTGTATTTAATGATTAATGTGGTTTTCTTTTCATTATACTAAGACTTGAAAATATATTTTTATATTGTTTTACTTATTTGGAATTTACAGAACAGAAGCCAATTGGCCATAACAAAATCACACTTTATCGTCCTTGCAACTTTTTTAAAAAACCTTTTTATTTTAAGATGAAAATTTATAAATAAATTCCTGATTATAAGTACTTTCATATAATTCTGTCTTGTGCTTTATTTGATTTTGGGAGACTAATCATGTCCACACCAAGTTTTAAATCATGATCACAGTTAAAGAATTTCAGATCCTTTAAGTTTTCTTTCCTAAGGAAAACCTACCAATACGGATTATGTTTTGAAGGTGTAAGAAATAAAACTGGAGATATCATCTAGGATGAAGAATAATTCCCAGATATACAATGTTAATATACCATTATTAGAAAATACTACAAAGTTTGACAAGACTTTCTAGTCACCATAATGTAAACCATTCCAGGTTATGTACCTGGGCTATATCATGTTGGCCCCTCATGGAATGCTTGGACTTTGCATTTTTTTTAACATTGTTAAAAGTTAGAACTTTTCTAAAGAGTGTTAAAAGTTAATTTTAACCACCATTCTATTTTTTGCAAGTAAGAATTTGCTGCTGCTTCTGCCAAGGCTATTTCATATAAAATCGTTACACTGTACCCCATTTTCATATTTTTCTGCCTACTTATTGCTGCAGTTCTAATGGTGTTGGCAGAGAACTTTAATCCATATGTTTTCCTTGGCCCAGAAGATAGGCACTTTCACCTTACCGTTCCAAATGTCGAAGAATTTTCTATTCATCTACACTTCATTTCCTGTCCCCTTACAATAGAGTTCATCTGATGAGGCACTAATGACTCGCTTTATTTGGTGTATTTATCATTTAATCATGGTTATGATGCTCGCTTCTTTAGTGTTTAATTTTCCATATTCTATCATTGTAAAGTCCTTAATCCCTGGTGATAATATCCCTCTAGGAGTCTGCCCTTTTTTTTTTCCACAGAAAGGTACAACTTCTAGATTTCTGTCCCACTACTGATAGCGTATGTAAAGCTTTTCTTGAGGTCCTCGTCCCTGATCCTTGTTCATGTAGCTTTTTTGATATATAGTTAGGGTCAGTACCGTGTGTTTCTAGATTTGGGCAGATAAAGGCAAAGACCTACTTTGGCACCAAGTCCTAAATTGTGTTCTCCAGCACAATTTCCCAGAAATTATCTTAAATTAGTGGTTCCTGAGAATAGTCCACTCAAAATTCCAATTGTGAAAAAGAGCTTGGGGGTAGAATTAAAAGGAATAAAACCCCTATTTTAGATTTATGCACATTTTCTATAATTTTGAAAGTGGTCTTAAATCCTTTAGAAACAATGGCGAAGTATAAGAAGTGTTGCTTACAAAAGCCTATGCCTAAATTGTTTGCTTATTAATAACTTTTCTTAGCACACTTGTTCTTCAGTTTACCCTTCCTGAGTTAAGATTCAAATATGTATATGAATCATCTGGTGGTCTGTTATGTTCAACAGAATTACAAGGTATTCATATATTGAGAAAAGATGAGGTTGAGGGGTGACACTATTGAATTCAGCAAAAGCCTTCAAAGGTGACTAGACTAGTCTTCTAATTCAGGAATTCATTTTAACCAGTGATCTGAAATGAATCTGAAATTGTATTTAATAAGCTTTAAATACATTTAATATTTATTGAATTCAATCAGAAGTATACAGTTCTTTGCAATCTTAAGATTAATACAGAAATAAGTGAAAAATCCTATGACATCTGAACCAACTTTTTGAATTTTCAAAACGAATAACAAGTACACAGTTCTTGTTTTTATCAAGTGACTTTGACCAACAAGTGAAGAACACTCCTCTGGTAATTTTCTGTGGGATCCCTGTACTGCATTTGAGGCAATAAAGAACATCAGACTATAGAGCAACAGAAAGACTTAGAGCAGAAGCACCGTTAAAATGATGGCCATCCCGAGTGATGGAAGGAGCATTTTGCTAGAGGATGCTGAAGGATGGGTTTTGGGACCTGGTACAGGAACTGGAGCTGGAGCTGGAGCTGGAATGAGAACATAGTCACAGACATACGGTATCTTTAATACCTGCACCACAGATCTTGAATAAAGAGAACTTTAACACATATGCTTCCTGATATCTAATACAGACTTTTGGGGTCATTTTCACTGGAATTTCTTTGCAATTTTCTTTTGACACTTTTTTTGTGTGTGCAAGGTCAAATTTAATTCTAGCTCATTTCATGTCTGACTGTCTTCCATGTGTACATTCTAAATAGCTATCAATAACCCCTGCACAGGGTAAGAAGAGAATAAAGGCAATAAAGGCATTTTCTTCACATTGCCCTTAACTCATGAAATTGATGGTTTGGGTGTTTGTTTAAATTACACTAAAAAAGGTTGGCTGGGAGTACCGAAATGGGATCTCCATTTGGATTTCATAAACCAAGTAGAATAGCTAATAAACTTTATGCATGCCTTCATCTCATCTATATACTTTAATTATAGACATAATTTTACATATACAGATGGAGAAATGGACGGCAGATATATTCATGCATATTCATGCATTAGTTTGTAATTTTAGAACTGATTTTCGAGGGGGCAAAGTTGCCCCCAATGAGGCTTATCAGAAAGTTCTTCAGGCTGCCTTTATTTAAGTAATCGTAGGTAAAGGTAGACTAAATTTAGTCTTGCAGCCCATTTCCACACTAACTTCAAATGTGACAATACTTGATTATGATAAAGTTAACCTGTTTATAATGCTCAGACCCAGAACCTAAATTTATTTTTCTAAAAGTAATTTTAATAGTTCCAAAAACCAGTTTCTATCCCACATCCACAGTATATCATCACTTATAATTGGATAGTTCATTAAAAGACACTTTCTTAACTCTTAACTTCAAATCCAAATTTATCTGTATAAATGCAATCTATTATGTCTTATAGGAGTATATTGGAATGTCTGTCATCTTTGTGGATGCAGATATATCCTACCTGAATTTTATTTCAGGACAGTAAAGACTTTTTAAAAAATAGTTGTCACAAAATAAGGAATAAAGTTAGTAAGACTTGAGAAACCCGCTGCCTCTCTATACAGTTGGAAAGCAGCCTTGCCAATATGGCCTTAGGATCCCAGGGAAGGGATCCTAAGTGAAGACAAGTGAAGGGAAGACAAGTGAAAAATCATAAAAGAGAACCACAGCATGTCTAGGGACCAACCAGTAGGATAGGGGCACAGGAAGTTGGAACAGGGCTAGAATGAGTCAGGAAAAGTTGAGAAACAATTGAAAAGGATTGTTTTGGAATCAACCCAGTTGTCTTGTCTCCCCTACATACAAGAATTTTGTATGATACTATAAACTCAACACAAGGCAAAATTAATTTCTCACTTCTTTTTTTGTTTTTTGTTTTTGCTTTTTGGGTCACACCCCGTGAGGCACAGGATTAACTTCTGGCTCTGCACTCAGGAATTACTCCCGGCGGTGCTTGGGGGACTATATGGGATGCTGGGAATCAAACCCGGGTTGGTCGCGTGCAAGGCAAATGCCTACCGCTCCAGCCCCGCCTCACTTTTTCTATAGAAGAAACGAACTAATATGTGGCTTTGGTTGATACTCTTTAAAATAGAAACATTTAGAGTTTGCTAGTATACCTGTTAGTCAAAAAAATTGAATCAACTCGTTAAGTTTGGTGTCCCCAAAGAGTCAGAGAGATAAGGTATTATCAGACTCTGGTACGGGTGGAATGGGGCAAGAGTTTCCTTTTTACTCACCTGTGCTCTTTGATTTCCTGTTTATTTTACCATATCAAAGTTTTCATCAAAAGATTACATTTTTTTTGTTTACACAAAGTACTTTTTCTACATATACTCAGATTCCCAAGGCAGAAAGGCCTCATGCTTACTATGTGTCGATATTGTACACTTTTTGTACCCTCAGATCTTTCTACCATCCTACCAGGCAGGCAGGTGTGATTATCCATATCACATAATATAGCAACACTTGGAAAACATATCCTATTTGTTGGAGATTATGGAAATTGGCAGCTTTCTGGCATGCTTATTAGGTAATAAAAAGCATTCTGGAATGTTCACTCCTAAAACAAAAGTTTTCAGTAATTTGCTACAATGAATACATTCTCCGAATTGGAATCAAGTGATAAAAACCTGAAGGTACTATAAAAATAAAATTTTATGAAGTATTCAAATCAAATTATTTCAGAATTCATTCTTAAAATTTTTGCTGTATTTCCTTCCATCCGTTTGCTTATATTCACATACAGAATACTGTAGCATCTGGCTGCTTTAAATGTTATAGCTACACGGTACCAATTCAAGCCAGACTTCGCTTCTCAGTGTTTGTGTGATTACCATTTGGTTACTGTGATCCTCGATGCCGAGATGTCAGCTAAAGCTGACAGTTTTCACATGGAACTGAGGCTTCTACTGAGTATATCTAAAATCTGGAAGAGGCTGAACAAGGTCCCAGCTGCCTTACACTTAGCCATTCTGCCTGCTAACTTAACCTCCCTCCCAACACAGTGAACACAAGGTGAAAGGCATTTTTACTATACTGTCTTCCCCGCTAAATCTGGCAAGCTAGCTGTCAGCAAACATATAAAGAATAATTGCTCCTTGAAGATGTTCTCTTAAGTGCCCCCTCATACTTAGCACAGACAGTAAGAAAGCTGTCCTACCAGATCTTGGAGTGGGTTCATGGTTCTTCACACCTGAAACAGACAAATACTGGTCAGTGTTCAGTGCTAAAGCTCCTTTTTCCCTCTTATCTCCCATCTCCAACCCTTAAAGGAGAAAAGAAATTTAATAACAAAACACCTTTCAGTGGCTGACTGAACAAAACCCAAATCCTAGGCCTGAACTTCAAGAACTCCCATCATTTGGCTGTTGTTTCCTACACCCTTATCTTCTATATGGCAGTCCTGGTACATCAGTTTTTAATGGAACAGTCAAACAGTAGTTTAAGACTGCTTCGTTTAGCTTTCTAGTCACAACTACTAGTTCTGAGCGGATGAGTGGGCAGGCTACTTGATCCTTCATCTTATTGTTTATGAAAAATTGTAAGTTTATAATAAGGTGATACACAATAAAAGTACCAATTAGCATTGTGAGGAACGTAAGGCAGAACACAGAGTGAGTGCGCTGTGCTGACTCCAGCTCCATGTCCTGTTAGAGCCTTCCTTGCAGTGTCAATTTTCCTAAGCTAAGGGAGATAAGTAAAAGACCACTTACCAGGTAAGAGAGTGGACTCCTGGCTTTCCATTTCTAAAAAGATGAGAATAGGAGTTATTTCATGAAGAAAGCAATTAACTGAAATTTTATTTAACCATATATTTGGCTACCTATGGCAGGAAACTCTAAAAGTCGAAAGCCTTAAGATAATATTTAACCACTGGAGCTTCACTGATTTATTTTGAGAACCATGGCCGTTCACCTGGAATCTTTCCAAGTAAGCAAAAAACCATGTTAGTTTGTAAGGGTGGGGCTTTGAGGGGGGTTCCCAAGCAGTACCCAGGGGACCCAAGGGTGACTCCTGATGACGCGGCCCACCTGATAGTTCTGTTCAATGCTTGGGTCTGGTGATGCAGAGCTGGGGGCCACCAGGTCACACCTCAATGTTCAGGAGCCTCCAGGACTATACCTTTGATGATAGTTAACTGGGGGGTGGGGGGTGGAGAGGGATATGCTGGAGGTGTAATTTTTTTCTTTTTGGGTCAACCCAATGATGCTCAGGGATCAAATATCCTACCAGCTGTACTAAAACTCCAGCCCCAAGGCGGTGGGGATGTAATTTTGATCCTCAGATATACAAGGCATGTACCCCTGGCTCCTGAGCTAGCTCCCTACTCAAATTATTTTGGTTTTCAGATTCAGTCCAAAGACTGTATTTTTAAAGATCAAGGTGTTTTATTATATATATATATGCACACATATATATATAATGAGATTATTTTAAAAGCTTCATTTCAGAGCAACTCATTATTTACAGTTTTGGTTTACTTTGTTTCTCTATATATTTTTAAACCAAGTTGATACACTCTCTATATTGTTTTTTTATCCTGTTTTTCACTTGCCACTATATTCTAAACACACTATCATACCTTTACATATTTTTAATGTGGTTTTTAGAGTAAATCTTAAAAGGGATCACAAAATATTTCCTTCATGTTTAGCTTACTCCTTTAGAACAAATATCTAAAAATGCTAGAAATGAGTTCAAGACACAGACTTTGCTTTTGGTGGGGTTCCCTGGGCCTGGCAGATGGCGGCTTCGTATGTTTGAGAATCAAACCCAGGCTTTACACAAGCAGACATCCCCAGATCTCCACAGGCCAGTAATATCTACTACATAATTCCCTTCCAGGAAAACTGCTCCCATGTATATAATACCTGGTATTATATAATTTCACAAGTAACTTATGTTTCTGCTCAAATACCCTTGACCTTTGAATAATATCAAAAACTTGGGGACATTTGGGTAATTTTTTAATAATAACTAAAATCTTTGGAATGAGCTGTACTTTGGAATGTCCAATGTACAATCAATTGAATAAAGCAAATAGCATGTTATCTTGTTGGAGACAAAAATACAAAACAATTCATTAAATTTTTTTAAAATGCCATTTTTTATATGCTTGTCCAATACTCTTAATCACAAGAGCTTCAGGAATCATCACACCTCCCTCTATCCATGTAATAGTCAGCAGGAAGCAACGAATAAAATCGTCTCCAGTACTTGTTCCTCAGGTATGTCTCCCTGCTCTGCTGGGATGAACTAAAAATTGCTAGGTGACAGAGAGACTGCTGTGTCATCATCTGGAAGAACCCCGTCTGAAACTCAGGAGGGTCTCAGGCACAGACCAGGACACCAGCACACACTCTCATCTTCCCACCGTTCCTTACCATGCCACACTGACCTGCCACCATCTCTAGGGGAACTTTTTTTTTTAATGTTTCAAATTTGTCTTTTATTTTTTTTTAATTTTTATTAGTGAGACATCATGAGGTACAGTTGTAGACTTACAAATTTTTGTGCTTGGGTTTCAGTTATACAATGATCAAATACCCATCCCTCCACCAGTGCCCAGAACTTTTAAGGGATGTGAGCACCCAGAACTTTTAAAGTGTCTTACCAGGTTCTTCAAGGGTCTGACTTTTCTCAACTACGGTATAAAACAGGACAAACAAAACGTTAGAACAAAATAACATAGAGTTACTACAGTTATCGCAAACTTTTTCAGGTGATAGATCATTATTAGAACCACTTAACATGTTCAATAATCCAATGAGGTATTTGTTAAGTGTCAGAGTTTAACTACACCATGAACAGGTAGACTGGAACCTTTATCTGGTCCCTTTGTATTAGGGGAAAATGTCATAGGTAGCCGGTCTCCAAGGGATCCCAATGTCTGCCTTGAAAAGTTAGCTGTGAAAGGACAAATACAACATGAAATCTAACAGTAGTAACATGTTGCTGACTGAGTCCTGCAGACTTAAGGCCAGATATCTTTTTTTCTTCTATAATGAAAAACATGCCCAAATGGAACAAAGACATAATAAAGCATTTTTCTTTTTTGGGGACCACACAGCAGTGCTCAGGGGCCACTCTTGGCTCGAGGCTCTAGTGTCACTCCCAGGAGTGCTCAGAGAACCATGTTCTGGGGATCAAACCCAGGGCTCCCACATGCAAGGCATGGGATCAACCCACTGAACTATCTCTCAGCCCCATAATATAGAATTTAAATGCAAAAAGGTGACTGGGTCACATCACCGTAAGTTGGAAACTAAGGAAGGGTGGATTTTTATTTGTGCATATTGGTGCTAATCACCCAGATATTTGAGTTAAATGATACCAAACATCAGGATATTTGAGAGATGCAAATGACTAACTTTTCTACTTTCATCTGTATATTTGGTGTCATACAGGCTAATCTTACAGATCAAAATCAGAGCCATTAGAGAACCCCAGCCCTGGTCAAGAGAGAACTTAGCTCTTCAAGCCTCACTAACTTGATTCCTTGATATGTTTTCATATTGTTTAGCTCTCCAGAAAGACAATACTCTGTTGCAGGGAGGGAAATAGGAAAAAGCTACTACACATCTATGTATGTATGGTTTTAAAAAATGATTTGTGCACACTTACCAGGGCTGAATATATAGATGGTTTGCAAATACTCTAAAATACAAACACGTTTTCATTACATATGATTATGTTCAGACATGCATGTCAGAATCAATCGCTCTTAAAATGTTTATCAAAATAAATATGTATATGATTAAGATATACATATTTGTGCATAAACATCAGGAATAAAATTTTATTATTAAAACTTCATTGTGTAAGAATTCATTCAAAAACTAGCCAGGACAACTAGAAATGGATCCTCTTATCTGTTTTGCTCAGGGCTTACTTCTGGTTCTGTACTCAGGGATCCCTCCTTGCAGTGCTCAGGGGATCATATGTGGTGCTGGAAAATACACCATGTTGGCCACATGCAAGGCAAGTGCCTTAACACTTGTATTATCTTTCTGGCCCCATGGATACTTTTATTTTCATTTGTTTGCTTATTTTTGTTTTGGGGTCACACCTGGCAATACTCAGAGGTAACTTCTACACTGCACTCAGGAATTGTTCCTGGTGGGACTCAGGGGACGATATGAGGTTCTGGGGACCAAACCCAGGTCAGCTGCAGGCAAGGCAAGCACCCTACGCACTATACTATGTCTGCAGCTCCTGGACCTTCATTTTTAAGCTTTGAAATAAGGCAATCTTCAAGAGGATCTACCTAGAGCATACAGAGGCCCATGGCATTTTTCTGCCAACTATGGTTCAAAGCCATCCCACTGGAAAATGCTGTTCCCAAATATTCTTGAGTTTGTTAATCTTCCGCAATCTTTCCCGGAGACCCCTTTAAAGGATTCTCTTTTTCTGTAACATTCTCGTTTTTCCCTTGGAACTGAAGATGGACTACGTTTCCATTCTGTCTCCCCATCTGAGCCACATTCACCGTATTCCTTCATTTGCCCGCCAAATGTTACTTCCTCTGACACCAAACACAGGAATATGAGTCTGGATCTGCGTATATGCATCGTGCAGGAGCAGCCCGTATAAGGGGGCCAGGGTGAGAATGCTATGAGACTTGCACACACAAAACAATGCAGACTGGGAGAGAGCAGAGGGGAGAGTGGCCAAGTGAGCCACAGAGACTGCGGGGCGCTCCCCCTGCAAAGGCTCAGCACAGCTTAGTGCTGAGAAAATGATGACTACAGTACAGAAAACGGTTCTGATCCACAGCTAAGAAATAGCACAAATAAAATGTCCATTTCAGAGACAATACTTTAAAGCACCGCTTACCTGCATTCTCAGCACAATCTGTACTTTTCAGTCCTGAAATAAAAATAAAAGTTTTATCAGACAATCTATCCCAGGAAGGTCATGAAGCTAGTCTGACTATAGGGAATCTCACTTTCTGGCCTCGGATCCACAGTTTAGTGCAATGCAAACTTCAGAGCATGCAGGATTTTGTAATCTGAGTACTGCCACCAAACAGCAGGATAGCCTTTGGGTAAACACTGAATCTTTCTGTATTTCAGTCTCTTAGCCATCTTTATACTGGATAATTGCTTTATGAGCTTCCAAAGAGTCTAGTGTCTGTTTAGCTCACAGAAGTTAAAAAAAATAAACCCAATATGTTCGATTAATACTCTTCTCTAAATACTGAAAGGTCTCAAAATTAAATGTATCCCTTTACTATGAGAATTACTATCCATCAAAAAAAAACCCACTAAGCTCTTCAAATTTTGTAATGAATAAAAATATTTCAAATTTTATAATGCTGGTATGTCCCCAAATATTCATTTGCATATAAGGAAATTCATTATTTTGGGAGACTAGGAACATGGCATCTAGCAGTACTATTTTTGGCAGAGTGTATGGGGGGTGTGTGTGTGTGTGTGTGTGTGTGTGTGTGTGTGTGTAGAGGTTTGGTTTGACCCACACCAAGCAGAGCTTAGGGCTTACTCCTAGTTCTGTGCTCAGGGGTCACTCCTGGCAGTTCTGTGGGGACCACATGCAGTGCAGGGGATCTGGCCAGGGTCAGTACAGACAGGGCAGTCAGTACAGAGATTAAATTTAGTATAATCTCTCTGACTCCTAACCAAATTTTTGGGGGCTCTCCTGAAGGGTTTGAAGTTCAATGCAAGTCCCCAAGGATGTGGTGCTGCAGGGGCCCTGAGGTGTTGCAGTTACCAGGCCACACTGGCAGTGCTCAAGGGACTTCCAGGGCTGAACCCAGGGATGCTTCAGGGATCATGTGTGCCAGGACTGAACTGGGGCTGCTGACTGTAAGGCAATCGTCTTCAACCCTGTGCTATCTCTCCAACCTGTAACATGGCCTCTGGCTGGTGAGGTCCTAGAAAAAGTCATCAGCATTGCAGTGATTACACTGAAACTTGAAGAACATGGCAGAACAGTAAGCGGAGTCAAACAGAAAAGTATCTAGATTAAGTGCTGTCATGTGTCCTGGAGGCTTCCACAGTGACACATGGAGATCTAATGTCCTGGTGCCATCTGCACGCTAAGACTGCCCACTGGTCTAATCTGCAAATTCAGCTCCTGAGAAGATAGGGAGTCCTTAACGGTCCCCTCATTGTGAGAGATGTGCCTTTCTGTAACTCCAAAGCTTCCCACTGTCTGAGCTTAAATCAAGAATGCAATGACTGGGTCCAGTCTCTCTTGCCCCAGGAAATGTTAAAGATCTACTGAGAGTCTGGATGGCAGCTTCAGTTAAAATCCTGCATTTAAACTAGACGAGAAATTTTATTATTTGTCATTTTTAAAGGCCCTCCCGTTGATCGTCGATTTGCTCGAGCGGGCCCAGTAACGTCTCCATTGGAGACTTTGTTGTTACTGTGTCTGGCATATCGAATACTCCCGGTAGCTTGCCGGGCTCTCCGAGAGGGGCGGAGGAATCGAACTCGGGTCGGCCATGTTGGCCGCTTGTAAGGCGAACGCCCTACCCGCTGTGCTATCGCTCCAGTTTTTGTTTTGTTTGGGGGGCAATGTTCAGAGATTATGCCTAGCTATGCACTCAGGAATCACTCCTGGCAAGGCTTGGGGGACCAAATGGGGTGCTGGGGATCGAACCTGTGCCATCGGCAGGCAAGGCAAGTGCCTACCCACTGTACAATCTCTGTACCATCTCTCCGGCCCCAGTAACCTGTCGTTTTTGATAAACTATTCCATAAACTTCAAGCCTGCCTTGTCCACCTCTTTATTTCTTGTCTATATAACTGTAAGGAACTATATATATTTCCAACTTATTTTATAACTGTGATTATAATTTTATAATTATAAATTTTATAAAACTATACAAACAAAATTTAAATATATAAAAATTATAAATTTATAATTATACATTTAATAATTATAAGGAATTATATATATCAAGTTGATTGTTTTGATGACTGACTTGATTGCTAGGTTTGAATAAGTTATGGCAGTGAATAGCTATCTCCTTTTCTATACACATGAAACAAAAGTCCGAACACTCCAAACAGTGCCTGGTTATAATGTGAAGTGCTCGGAGATGACTGTCACTCACTTCCATGTCCATGTCAGATCATACTGCTGACCAAGTCCAGACCAGAGCAAGAAACCTAGCTAGTTTCAGTGATGGTTAAGAAAGACCCAACTAGAACAAATGAGCTCTCAAAGGCTAGGAATGGGATTCATAAACAATTACTCCGAAAGCAAAGAGTGAAGATCGCTACAGTAAAACTCAACAAAAAAGACAAATACAAGTCACTGAGGTTGAGGGCTCTTCCTTTTCCATCAGTGAACCTTGATAGTCCCCACCCTCGTGAAAATACTATGTAAGCATAGCACAAAAACGGAAACTACTCCCCGCGTGGCACTTCGGGGCCACTCATGGTGGTGTCCAGGGGACCACACAATGCTCAGGGATCAAATGCCAGCTTCCAAGATACAAAGCATGGGCTCATGGCTTTGAGTCAGCTCCTAGCCCTCGATGGGTTAATCTTTTATTTGGTTTCATTTCAGTTAGGGGCCACACCTGGAAGTGGTCAGGGACTACTCCCACCTCTGTGCTTGGGGGTTGCTCCTGGCAGTGCTCTGGGGTGCCCGTCACGGCCAGAATCAAACCCAGGCGCCCTGCACGCAAACCATACACTCAGTTCACTGAGCAATTTTTCTAGCCCAGGGGTAATTTTTAAAGAAAAGGAATATATCCTGCTCATACAGCTGATATTCCACCTTCGTGAAGTTGTCTAGGAACGCAATATAGAATATTAAGCTGCAGAAATTTTTCCCTAAAGTGTTTTGTTAATCATAGATCATCCTGCTATCCTTGACTACCATGAACTGCATTATCTATAAAGACACAAATATTCTGTTTATATTTTAAAGTATTTTTATAAATCTCACAGTACAATTTTATTTTTAAAGTCATAGCAAATTTAAGGCGATAATATAGGACAGTGGTAAGCACAGCAAACTTGAGTATTAAGTAAACTTAATACTCTTGTTTCTTCTCCTTTAGAACTACTGCGTCTTTGAATCCAGAGGCATAGTTGCATCCTGTCAAAATGGGACAGATTCTGACACTATTCTACTTGCTCAAGTTTTTAAATCCCAAGAATGATCCTTCAGTTGCCTATTGTGGCCTTCCAGTCCCATTAGTTACCTGTAGATGGCAGCAGAGGACATAAGATTGTAGTTTAAAATTCAATTCAGTTCCACCAAGCACAGAGGCTGTCCCGAGAGTCTCTCCCGACGCAGGCCTGCCTGCTGCCCTGCTCTCACATCTCTGTCTCACTCTGTGCCCACATCCTTTCCCTTACATACGGCCCTCCCTCCCTCCCTCCTTTATTTCCCCTCTCCTCACTCCCTACCTCCCCCTCCTTTCCTCCCCTACTCCCTCCCTCCCTTCCCTACTCCCTCCCGCACTCCCTTACAAGCAGAGCTCTGGGGCTCCACCTGAAGCTTTTTGCGGACAATGAGGTGTAGGGAGGAACCCGGACCACCTTCATGCAAAGCATGTGCTCCAGCCCTCTAAGCCATTTTCCTGACCCCGCAGAGAGCACTTAAAGCACTTTACTCATGAAGGTATGAAGCTTCCTCCCCTATCTTCTCCACAGCCACGACCAGCAAAAAGGAAACTACAAATCTACTAAAAAAACTACTAAACTACAAATCTCCCTTTATTCAGTCTGTCAGTAGAATGCAAGACAGGGAACACACTAGCACTAAGCAGTATCAACTAGACTCTATGAATGCAAGCGGGCTGGGCTTTAGTCCTCAAAAAGACAGCTCAGGTACAAAGAAACAAGATCATACATTGACTAATATGAGATACTGTCTCCTAGTATGTATCTTTGCATCTGGTTCAAGGTTATTTGCATTTCTAAGGTGGAACATCAAAAACTAAGATACTAAATCAAAACAAAATTATACCCCAACTCCCCCTCGGGTGAAAAAGGCACAAAGGTCACAGACTGTTCAAAAGGAAAGAGCAGAGTTGGGCTGGAGTCTTAGTACAGCAAGTAGGGTGCTTGCCTTGCACACAGCCAGCCTGGATTTGATCCCTGGCAACCTACGCAATTCCTTGAGTCTGATCAGGAGTGATCCCTGAGCACAAAGCCAGAAGTAAGACCTGAGCACTTCTGGGTGTGACTCCACTCAATAGCACCGTATAGCACTGTCCTCCCGTTGTTCATCGATTTGCTCGAGCGGGCCCAGTAACGTCTCCATTGTGAGACTTCTTGTTACTTCGTGTTTGGCATATCGAATACGTCACGGGGAGCTTGTGAGGCTTTGCCGTGTGGGTGAGATACTCTCGGTAGCTTGCCGGGCTCTCTGAGAGGGGCGGAGGAATCAAACCTGGGCCGACCAGGTTGCTGCATGCAAGGCAAACGCCCTACCGCTGTGCTATCGCCCCCCACTCAAAAGACAGGAGTGTATGCTTTGCATGTGGGAAGCCCAGGTTTGAATAGGGAATGAGTATCCCTTGAGCACCACCAGATGTGGTCCCCAAATAAAAAAAAATGACAGTTTTTGCTACACTGAGAAGGGGGAAGTGTATTACTATTGAGGCAGAAGGTAAAGGTTACCTGATATTTTTGATTTATTGACTTAACAGTCATTTCCTTTAGTTATGGATGACCTGGTAAATGATACGCAATCAGAAAAGTGTGTGTGTGTGGGGATTCTGGGAAAGCTTTTGCTTTCCTGATTAATCGGGCTGATATGGTTTCTATCCCTGCTATCCCCTCTCCCTTTGAAAAATAGGGATGACTCCCCAGCAGTGCTTGGGCGGCCTGGGTCCACTTCCAGTGACTCCTGGCACCATGGTACAGGCCTGACAGTTT